TCTGGTTAGATGAGTTATTTTCAAAGTGTTATGCCCTTTGGTTAAATGAGCTTTTAATTTTAAGAGCCTATGGTTAGAAGACTTTTTTAAAATTAGACATGATTTACAAGAATAAAAGGTATAATCTATAAGACCTCTTAGATTTTCTTTTCAAAGTTTTATAGTCTTTGGTCAGATGAGCTATTTAAAGTTTCATTGCATCCGGTTATAAGAGCTTTATTAAAGTTTCATTACCTCTAGTCAAAAGAGCTTTCTTTAAAGTTTCATAGTCTCTAGTCAAATGAGCTTTAAGTTATCAAGCCTTTACTTAGAAGAGCATTTTTTAATTTTTAAAGGTTATCAAATCTCTACTTAAAGTCGACCCTCTGCTTAGAAGAGCCTTTTAAATTTACAAAAGTTATCGAGCCTCTATCTAAAGAAGCTTTTCAAATTATTTAAAAAAAAAACTGTGTTAAATGTTTTGTCTCTTATATGTGTTTGCCCGAATAAACTTGTTGTCTTTTTGCCTTTACTTTATTCTTATTTCTAAAAAATATGTAAAGAGAGATAACTGTAGATACTCATTTTGTCCAGTCTCATTTTAATCTAAGTATAATAATAATAATAATTATAATTATTATTATTATTATTATCATCATTTTCTTAGTTCTTCTAACACCTCTTTTTTTTTCTTTTTCTTCTTCATTCCCCAAAGTCTTATTGCATTAAATACACCAAAAGTCCTTTGTGCTATCTAATTTTTGCAACATGAAATCCGGTGACCAAAAGTTATTGGATAAATCTTTAAATTTTTTCACAAAAGAACCATAGAAAGTCCACAAAAATCCCAAAAAATCTGAGATTTTGACCTCTTGATTAGCTCTATAAATAGAGTCAATTTTTGCAAGCAAAAAAAAAAAACATAAAAGAACATAGGAGAACACTGCTAAAAAAAAAAACACAAAGTAATTTTTTTAGGTTACTAGGTTACAACCATTCATAAAAATACACACACAAGCATTAGAAAAAAAATTTTTAAAATTATATCTTCAAAGAAGGAACTGTCAGTAAAAAAATTGGGGTTTTTGTTTGCAAAAATGAAATAAAATAATTTTTAGGCGAAACTAGAAAGTTTGATCTATGAGGTTTGGAATTTTTATTTTTTTTTTGAAAAATCTAGTTTAGAAAAAGTGTTTAGAAAATAAAATGGAGTAATTTGGAATTTTTTGAGAATTTTTGAATTCTTTTAGGTCATCAAAATATGAAAAAACTTGAATTTTTTATGACCGATTGAATTTTCTAACCACAATAAACTAGAAAATCGGTCAAAAATTAGAATTTCTTGAATTTTTTGACACCAATGAAGATTTTGGCCACCAGTGCATGATGACAACTGGTTAGAATCTACACTACATGGTGGCTGACGGAAGGAATGATTTTTTAAAGAAAGGAGTTTTAAGTTTTTAGAGAAAGAGCATGGGGAAAATTTTTTTAAAAAATTTAGAAATAGCCTATTTATAGGGCACCAAAATGACACCATTTTGGTGTCTAGATTCATGCTTGAGCCACGCAAGATCTGCGCCTAACCCGACCCATTTGTTACTTTTTTTTTTCATTTTATTTTTATTTTTTATTTTATTTTATTATTTTTTGTTAGATTTTTTAAATATAATTTTTTATTTTAAAAATATAACAATAATCAATAATCACTACAAGTGATAATCTAAAATAAATCCTAAAAAAAAAAGCAAAAAGAATAACATTTATTAAGGAAAATAAAAATAGTTCTAATTCCTTTTGATTTATACAAATGAAAAATATATAAAAAAAAGTATTTCTTGAATTTCACTAAAATGTTAGGACGATTCAAAAAATTATTTTTATTATAAAAAAATATAAAATAATTATTATTATTACTTATTTGAATAAAACTTTTAAAAAATGCAATGTTTAAAGAAAATTGAAAAAGTTCAATTTTCTTTAATTAATGTAAATAAAAAATAATTTTAGATTTAATCGACGAGTCAAGGTAATCTAAAAATTATTTTTTTACTAAAATAAAATTTTGATTCAATAAAAAAACAATGAATAATAAAAATAAATAAAAATAAAAGTGTTTGTTTAAATAATTTTTTTAATTATTAAAAAAAAACCAAAAAGAATAACATTTATTAAGGAAAATAAAAATAGTTCTAATTCCTTTTGATTTATACAAATGAAAAATATATAAAAAAAATATTTCTTGAATTTCACTAAAATGTTAGGACGATTCAAAAAATTATTTTTGTTATAAAAAAGTATAAAATAATAATAATTATTACTTATTTGAATAAAACTTTTAAAAAATGCAATCTTTAAAGAAAATTGAAAGAGTTCAATTTTCTTTAATTAATGTAAATAAAAAATAATTTTAGATTTAATTGATGAGTCAGGGTAATCTAAAAATTATTTTTGTACTAAAATAAAATTTTGATTCAATAAAAAAACAATGAATAATAAAAATAAATAAAATAAAAGTGTTTGTTTAAATAAATTTTTTAATTATTAAAAAAATATTTTTGGATTTCACCAAAGAGTTAGGATAATCTAAAAAGTTATTTTCACTAAATAAATATTTATTTAAATAATAATAAAATAAAAAGTAAAAGTTTTTCTTTAAATAAATCTCTTAATTATTACCAAAAATATATTTTGAGATTTCACCAAAGAGTTGGGATATCAGAAAATATATATTTTTACTAAATAAAGATTTATTTAAATAATAAGAAAAAGATGAAAATAATAAATAGCAAATAATAATAATAAAAAATAATAAAATAATAATAATTAATTAAATGTTTAATTAAATCTCTTAAGTAAGAATTTTAAGGAAAATTGAAAAGTCTAATTTTTCTTCATTATCACCAAGAGAAAGGATTTTTTTTTAAGAACTCATCAAAAAGTTAGGATGATTCTAAAATCAACTTAAAACTTTTTAGAATTTCGTCAAAAGTTGAGATAATCCTAAAATTAATTTGAGAAATGATTTTTGGATTTCACCAAAAGATCGAGATAATCCTAAAATCAGTTTAATAAATAAACAAATAAAATACTATGACGAAATTTCAAAAAATTTGTGAATGATCAATTTCTCGAAATTTTTTCTGAATAAAGATTTTTTATAAATTCCACTAAAGCGTTGAAAATTTTATAGAATATGAAAATGATAATAATAATAATAATAATAATAATAATTTCACAACAAAAAAATGTTTTTCATAAATAAATTTTAAAAAATTAATTTTAAATATAAAGAAGACCACATCGTCAAAATTAATTTAAGGATAACACATGTTTAATTAGTAGCATTTTTCGAACGAACGATGTGAGAATACTAATACCTTATTCACTCATAACCATACCCCTGGACCCAACCCTGATTTCGTAAACTTAAGCGTCTTTAGTAAATTTTAATTAATTTAATATTTTTATTAAAAGAAGATGTTTTGGGTGGCCAATTATACCTTACAAATAAGATTGGTGATGACTTAAAAAATTTTCAAGTCTAGCGATCAAGTCCCACTAGACAAAAAATCGTTATGACAGTAATGATAGAAGCATTTTGAAAATAAAATTTTAGGTCATGTTTAATGAATAAAATATTGGATAGGGTACGATGATAATCATCTTATATTATATTTAATTTATATATAAAGAAAGGAATAGAATTGTAAGAAAGATTAATCATCTCTTAGGTATAAAATGATTCAATCTTCTCTAAGTGAAGAGGATTATTTTTAATTCATGAAATTGAACTAATATATCTTATTATATCCTTAAAAATTAAATCAATAATTTAAATTGTATAAATTTTAAGGAAGAATAATTTTGACCAATAAATAAATTATCATAACTTAATCCTTACAAATATCAAACATAAAATGAAATGATATTATTTAATCTAATTATATTCATAATATCATCTTATCATATTCCATCATAATCGTATATAACAAACACATCTTAAATGTATTATATTAATGTAAGAGAATACATTTTTAAAATTGTTGAAAGATAATTAAATTTAAATAAAATCTGAAACATTTTTTATATTATATATAAAAAATCTCTTTGAAGTCAATACCATGTGTCTTTATTCTTTAAAAAAAAAAGTCATTTTTTTAAGAGCAATAAGCATGGGACAAATTTTAAATGAAGTATTATAGGGTGAAGTTGATGAGTTTTTTTTTTTAATAATTTAATAAAAATTTTAATAAAAATTCAAATTAATAGATCAATAAAATTCAATGTAAATATCAATAATATTTTTAAAAAATTATTAAAAATATTATTTATAATTTAAATTTGATTGATAGTTATTTAACAGTAAAAAATTTTATCAATATTTTTATTAAAATTATCTATCTAAAAAATATATCAAAATTTATTTTTTTTTTCAATTTTTTCATCTATGTAAAGAGACCTTTCAATTTATCAATTTTAATTTTTATTTAATCATTTTTAATAAAAAATTTGTACACTTCACTTAAAATTTTCATTTAAATCTTTACTAGGCACGTGTCCACCAGCATAATCGAATGAAGTGCAGGGGAGGAATATGACAAAATCACAACTAAATAAAAGGAAACACACCCAAAGAGGTTAAGTCCAATCCATATATTGCTTGTGTAGTTGTGGTCAGAACTAAATGAAAGGGAGAGACATATTCTTTAGCTAATCAATTTCATTTATGTTTCCTGGTTGATTGATCGAAAATGGCAACTTAATGATTAAACTTGACACCTCAGTAATAGCTCACTACACTATTCATGGGCTATGCTTGCATTTTATTGATGGGATTTGTTAAAGGGTTTATCAAATATAGTTGTGTCCCTTTTGCTTATTCTGTATAAAAGTTTTTAAATCCATATTCGGACAAGAGATTGATGGGGTTTGGCTGGCAAGAATGAAAAGTTCAAGAAAGTTGGGATTTCCCGATTGGATCCATGTTTCTATGCAAGGTTTTCAATGAAAAGCCTGCCTAAGAAACTGGATCCCTTTTCCCAACCTGTTCTGAAAGCCCAATTTGCTAAGTCATAGGTTTCGGCCTGTACTGATTTCCCATTTATCACCGAATCACAGTTCATGAAGCAAACAAGAGACCCAACTCAAATGGGGGAAAAGACAAACAAAATGGAATATGAGGCTCTGTTTGGTTTAGGTTGTGCATATATACGCAGCACGGCAGAAGAGAATTCATACAAGCTTTGGAGGAATAAAAGAAATAAGCAAACTTATCGATTGAAGATTATGCATTGTCATTCTCGTTCATAATCACCACCAAAGCTACAATGAAAGCATAGTCCACCTCTGGATACACTTTTATCTTGAAACTCTCTTTGCCCTCGCAGCTTCCCCATGTGAAATTGTGGCTAACCTGTATATTTAAATCACATTGGATTAAAGAAAGGAAACAAAAGAAATAAATGTTAACATTTTCAGGAATTTGAAAGGGATTCTACTTCCCGTGCCAAATCAAACACATTTGAAACAGAAAATTGAACAAGAAAGAACTTTTTTTTACCTCTGCAATGATTGAATTGCCTCTGCGAACTTTGAAAGAGAGGGAGGTTAAACTTCCAGTTACACGAAAATCACGACCATCTTTCTTGAACGGGCTTGCTAAGTAAACATCAAGATTGTTTTTGATCTGGACAGCATTGGATTGATGCACACTGCAGAGAAAATGGTTCATTTCTGAGCTTTCACCTTGATGAATTAACCATTGCTGTTTCCAGGATAATGCTTGCTGAATTTCCAAAACTCATACTATCATTACAAATATTTTCACACTCAAAAATCTGATCAGCAAAAAAACGTTTTTTCCAACCTTTTGGCGAAGAGTGATGACAGGCAAACCAGCAGGATCTTTCATGACCCTTTTCTTCTGGAAGTTCCAGACACCGCCATCGACTTGAAGGAGAACGTTTCCAGTAATATCAAACACATCGTAGTGTGTATTAGAAAATGATTGTATCTTCCTCTTGACAAGAAGCTCCATTGTGTAAGGGACACAAAATCGATCCCCGACGACATTAATGATCTGATCATCACTAGCCATATTCTGAATCTAAAGGAAGAAAATTTGATGGCAAACTTTTGACAATTGATTGATGCTGATATTCTTCGGTAAACTGAAAGAAAACACTTCAAAGAGGGGTCCCTGGAGCTGGAGGCTGGAAGCTTTATTGCATTTCCTGGAAATGAAGGTCTTTGAATATGGGAAACACCGTAACAATATATGCCAGATTCACATATATCAAAATTTGCAAAGCAAAAAATCTCAGAATCTAATTTTGAGTATCTAAATTTAAGAATTTAACAGAAGTATTTGATTGTTTTTTCCTAACAAACATTGCTTTTTTAAGAAATAAGTCGTTCACTAATCACTTATAATTTATTTGTCATGATTTAGCAAAACATCCATATTAACCATTGCAACCTTAAATCAAAGTTGCTAAAAATTTTAAAATTTTCAACCGAATATTTTAATCCACGTAATCATATCAATATGTTCATAACAACTTGAAATATCTTTAATAAAGAAAACGATAAAATACAACTTGAATCTTAAATTTTTATCCTGATTTAATTTTCAGCATCCATTTGAGAATATTATCCTCTTTTTAAAAAAAAAAATATTTGTTCACAATTTTATTCCCTTTTATCTTATGATTTTTATTTTTCACAGCTTTTGTTCTATTTATACCAAGTTGTTGGTTCCTTGCTATATGTAGAATCACCTTTCGTTATTATTTTTTGGTTTTAATCCTTGTTGAATGTTAGATAGCTGCCCAAATGCTTAAAATTGATGACAACTGTTTCAGCTTTCTTATGGTCATTGATGAGGTTTTATATGTTTCAACTCTTTTAAGAGTTTGAGATCCTGCTCCCAGGAAGAACTACATGCATTCCTTTTAATTTGCAGATGGTAAGTTATATTGTTCATACATTTAACTAATATCATAATAAATTCAGTTAAATTAGGAATTCACTATGCTTATTTGCCTTTCTTGCGTTTTTTGTTCCGCTTATGCAATTAGGTGCTATATGAACCAAAGCATAAAAATTGCTTTCGAGACAGCGCCCCCCCCCCCCCCCCCCCCAAGCTGATCCAACCGTTGATCTGAATACGTAGTTGTATGTTACCAAAGAATGTGGCTGTACAAAAAAAAAAAAAAAACACAGTAGCAGGATTTTCTGATTTGCATTTGTGATCACAGCAAATGTAGGAGACTAGGATATTTCGGAACGACATGAGATAGCCTTTCGGTTCTAATCAATTTGCATTTTTTACCAAGCCCTTTTCTTAAGGAAGGATAAGGGCAAGATGCCAAGCGCTGTAGCTGTTAAATCAGTTATGTTAGCTCTTCCTGCTGTTACCTGTTTCTCATTCTTCCATTGAAAGTTAACTTTTAATCTAAGATATTTGTATGCTGTAACGTCATTTCATGAGCTACTGAGATTTTTAAGTATGAAGTAATTTAAAGCCAAAAAAATATCTCTATATATTTGACGAGGGAAGAAAACGAAAATAAAGGGCTGATACTTATACGAAATGTAGTTGCATACTTTTATCACACTCCATAAATAAGGATAATACATAAATTCCGTATGCAAATACGGGTTCAATAAGGACAAACTATCCGCCTTGTCGTCTGGCCTTCCTCCATTCCCATGGCTTCTTAGGGTTTGATGATTGCCAAAGGCCAATTCGCTTTGCCCGAGCCTCCTTTTCCCACTATTAATAGTTTATCACATACGTTCAAAGACCATAATTGAGAGTTTTTAACTCAATGAAGTGCAAGAATCGTTGTTTACTTCAGCTGCAAGTTCAATGCGTTTTGTCATAGGCAGCATAATGCCATGCAAGTCCTTTCATTAGCATTACTTCCTGTTTGACAGAGAGATCGCCGGATGAATTTGTTCTTACCAGGTAAAACCAAATGCAAGCCAATAAAATCGTGTACTTGCACAAAAATGCCATTGCAGTATACATCCGTGACACAGCGATCATAATTATCTTCCCCATAGACGAGCCCTCTCAAACACTTCCCATGAACAAGCTTAACCAACTCTTTTTTGGCTTTTTTGGGCTTCTTTCCCATACGGCATAGAATTCTCTAGTGCATCTATACCCCTGTTTACTATCGACAAACCATCACATTTTAAGCTTAGAAAATAGGAAGATTGAAATCCTACAAGTAGAGAATGTACCTTAGTCGGATGTGATAGCAAGGATCTCTTCATTTTGAAGATTTATGACCCTGGAGATAGATGACTGTTAGAAACCATTGGCATTGATAACAGTTTGTAGTACTAATTTGAATGAACAAGATTTGACTAAGGAAGTTAAATAACTAACTGGTATCCTGATTCAATATTTTCTGGCGAAGTTCATCTGCCTTGGCATAATTCTTCTTAGCACATGCTTTCGATCTTCAAATTGCAGCCATACAAACATCTCTGGGTACGCTTGATGGCTCTCTAGGATCAGCAGTACTCACATACACATTTATGCCATCCCCATCTGGTACCAGATTCCCATCTACCTGATTTAGAGAATTTTTCAGTATCAAATCCATTATATATCTAATTGACTTTTTATATGATAGTTCTGTAGTTTGTTGACAAAGATCATCCTTACTGTTAGTGTGTACATTTCAATCTTCACTCCTTCAGGCAATCTTATTGGGACTCCAGCAGAATTTTCCTCAAGGACAGAAGGGATTCCAGCAAACCCTAATAAGCTCATTAGAATACAGGACATCCACAATGCATTAATTTTTTTTTCTTCCATTCCAATATAAATGGAACTAGCACAGAGTTTTGATACTTTTGGCCTTTTGTACCACAACATCTGCCTTTCGGTGTCTACTCAAGGTCTGGATAACAAGCCTAGCTACCTCTTCAGGCGTTTTTGCTGGGGGTTTTGCATCTCTCCATGCCTGCAGTAGCTTTCTATACCTTATTGTATTCTCAAAATTTAGACAGGCAACAAAAGCCAAAAGTGTAAATCAACCGGATTTTTTTTTTATCATTACATAGGAAATTCAGTCAATTATTTGAAGTTTCAAACTTTCAATTTCTTCAAGATTATTCAATTAAACAACGGATACACTTTTTGAGACAGATTATTGAGGGTATGTTACTTACCACTTAGCCTGAGCCTTCCTTGATGGTACTTACCACTTTTTGAGACAGATTATTGAGGGTATGTTACTTGCTGACTGAGACCTTCAGGAACCAGAAACCAGTTTACAATTTAATGAACTAATGATGAAAATCTAACAAACAGGTTTGAATGATCAGCTCAACAGATTTTAACAAACAGATTTTATCGTTCAGCTCAAAAGAAAAATTACTGAAAGCCACCAGAAATGATCATGAAGATCTACCTGAGAGGTGATTTCAAAGTTGAAGAGATCATGAGCAAGAGCTGAAACCCCAGAAGCGGTTGTGGTATAAGAGGGTCCTAGTGAATCAGAACACTGTGTGGTAGTGGGTTTGCAACATTTTCCACATAGGAACCTAAGAGCATTTCCCATTTGGCATCGTCTCAACCTAATATCTTCTAAAGTAGCAGAGATACTAACGACTGACGAACAGAGGAGAAGAGAAAGCTGGAAGAAAAGTAAATGACCACTTCTGGTGGACTTGTGCACTTCTTTATAGTCAAAGTATCCAATGGATTTTGTACAGAATTGCAGATTCCTGTTAGTACTGCTGACCTGTTTGTACAAACATTGGATACTAGATTTGAAATGTACATGGCAATGTCATTATTAAATACCGTTAGGCCTTACAATATATATACCCTTACTGGTTTTAGCCACACGTACGTGTATGCCGTATATAATTTTTTTTTTATTTTATTTTTTAATGTGATCAGGACTAGAGATTGTTTTTCAAGCTTTGCCTAAAGCATGCCGTATATAAATTTGTGCAAACATTAATAACAAGTAAATTAAGCCACCTTTCACTTCTCTCCATGGCCAATGCCAAGAGCTTCCATGGAGAAAAGTCCTCTGATGATCTCTGCAAAACCCAAAAGTGAAATAGCGGGTAGATTCTCCTCGCATTCGCTTTAGAGGATTTTGGTTTAAGCTCGAGTATGTTAAAGCTACAATGGCCATTGAAAACCATTTCAAGCCTCTTCCCTCTGGTATAGTCCTAGCTTCTTTTCCCACGACTGGGACCACAAGGCTAAAAGCTCTCACCCTTTCACTACTTGGCCATTACTCAATCCTGAAGCCAACAAACAGGTTGCTCCGTTACCAAACAAGAATCCGCATGAGTTAGTCCCTTGAAATTTGGGACTTTTTGACTTTTTCCTTTCACTTCCTTCTGCCAGAGTTTTCAACACTCATCCCCCTTATTCAATCTTGCCGGATCGTATCGAGAAGCCAAATTGTGGTATTGTTTACATTGCAAGCAATCCGGCAGACACGTTTGTACCTCTTTGGCATGTCTATAACAAGCAGTTTGGCACCACAATCTCCCTGGAAGAGGCCTTTGATGAGTTCTGTCAAGACTCCGTGCCTGCAGGTCCATACTTCAACCATGTAGTGGAGTTTTGGAAGGAAGGAAAGAAAATGTGTTTATTGTTACTTACGAGGAGTTGAGGGAGGACCCAAATCATCATGTGAGAACTAAGATTCGCTGAGTTTTTGGGTTGCTAATTTTCATTGAGATCTGATCAAATTAATTGTGGAAGAAAGCAGCTTTGAGGGGTTAAGTGAATTGGATGTGAATAAGGATCGAGAGAATGTTCATTAGAGTGGAATGGGGTTTGGTACTCTCTTTTGGCGAGGAAATAAGGTGAAGGCCATACAGAAGATGGGAAATTAACTAATTAATCAATAAATATGCTGAAAGAACACTTGTTTTTCTTCTTTTCTTTAGATTGGCCTCTAAGATTATAAACTTAAAATTTGTCTTGAGAAAATTCTTATTTTTGTTTTTTTGGTTTTTACTATTATTTCTATAATATTTTGGAGAAAAATTTTTAAGGAGAACAAATTTTTTTGTTGGATTTTCTGTTTCTTACTTCAAATTCTTGTTTTTTTTGGCAATAATTAGAATAAACATAAATGATTGAACATGTAATATAAATACTTTGGAGAAAGGTTAATTTCCTTTATTACCGAATAAAAAAAGTTACAAACCGCGATCTAAAGGCAGGGGAGAGATCTCTGTACACAAAATATTACAAATTGAAAAGAAGAAAAAAAAAAGCAGTTACGCCTTAAAAGTGACCGTTTCTGGCCAGAGGAGATCTCCCATCTTAACTCAGCACGAGTCGATCTACCTTGGTTGGTGAATCGTCCTTGGACTCACTTTCACACTCACAATCTTTGGTGCTTTCTCAAGAAACCTTGGCAACTTAGTCACAACTCGGCCCTTTCGCCACTTCAATGCCCCAATAGGTACCAATTCCTTCTGACAATCTCCCTCCTTTTCCTCCACTGGAAAAAGAAAACAAAAAAAAAAAAGTGAGATCCGAGTTATACTCAATTGACTCGTTGATCGGGCGAGTTAAATGAGTCACTTACGTCGGGGGTCGGACATAACTTCGTCGTATTCGTCAAAGATAGCATCGAGGTCGTCGGGGAAGAGACGGTCGTCGTCGTTTTGGGGATCGTGGAAGCGTTCTTGTAGCCAGTAGTCGCGGAAACAAGGGGACGACTGGACAAGGGCCCACCATTGATCAGAGAAATCCTCGACCGTCCGATATGCCAAGGGAACGAACAATGGAGCGTGGGGATCCAGAGTTGACGGTGATGATCGCTGCGAAAGAACCTCCATTTGCCACTAAAAGTTTGGTTGGAAAATGAAACAAAGAGAAAGTGAGTTGAAAGGATAGAGATAAGATTAAGACCCAGTACACTCATTGAATATATAGTTGGATAAGCTTATTAACTGGGCATGGCTTACTGTATTATTACATTCATGACACTACATTTTTTTAATTATTATTTTTTATTTTCCATTATTTTAGCTAGTATAAATTATTAGTATAAGTGTAAATAAATAATAAAGTTAGGATAAAATATTTAATGTCTCAAGTTGACACTGAAATAAATTGTGCTACTGCGAAATTTCTTTTTGTCAATGAATGTACTTTGCCAACTTTGAAATATGTGGCAATTGAGGAGGGCAATGATGGAATTAATCAAGATTTCAACATTTCTAAGAGAAATAAAAAGTTAATGACGTGTTTAGAATTTGGAGCCGAAGGAAATAACGCGACGGCTATGGCTGGTGCTAATGTTATCTAAAGTTTGAACCCAGCAGCTGCATCTGCCCATGGTTTTTTCTTTTCTTTTTTTTTTTTTCCTTTTCTGTTGCCGCCCTTTTGGAAAGCAGAAACTTTTGTCGTCCATTTTTTTTTTTAAAGAAAAATCAGGGATAAGTAAGTGATTCTATCTTCGTATCAAAACAAAGTATATTATATCTAATAACTTAAAATAAATAATTATAAATTATATATTTAAAGTGATTTTAATAAATAATTATTAATAAATTTAAAATTAAAATTTTTTTGTTAATTAATTAAATCAATCATTTAAATAAATTTTTTAAACTGAAATAAGAGATGAGAACTGCCACGTGCCGATGATGCTATTAACTGAAATAAGAGATAGATGAGAAGCGCCACGTGCCAATGATGCTATCTTGGAATTCCTGCCTAAAAAACTAGTGTGAGAAACAGGCCACGTAATTGTTCTTATCCTTTATTATCTCCTAGAAATTAACCCAAAAAAAAGCATTATATTAAAATAAAAGGTTAAATATAAAAATAAACCTTACATTACATATTTTTTGTTAATTTAATATTTTAAAAAATAAAATTATTAATCTAATATTTAAATTTTTATTTTATTATATATTTTAATACTTCATTTGTTAATTAATTTGTTGACATAATACAAACAATCAATAATATATTGACATATATGAAAAATATGTAGTTATTATTATATTATTAATTATCATATCAATATTAATAAAAAATATTTTAAAAATTTTAAAAGTTCAAAAAAAAATTTAAAATTAAAAAAATCTAAAATATTTTTAAAAATTACAAAATTAAAAATATACAAAATGTTTTTAGAAATTATAAAAATTTTAAAAAATTACTAAAACTTAATAAATTCAATAAAATCTTAAAATTTTAATAAAAATCCAAAATATTCCAAATATTTTGATATTTTTTAAAATAATAACAATTTTAATAAAAATAAAATTTTCTTAAAATTAAAAAAAATCACTAAAACTTAAAAAATTGAAAATAAATAAATCTAAAATTATTTGAAATTTTCAAAAAATTAAAAAAAATCTAAACTTTTTTAATAATTTGAAATTGTATTTAAAAAATTCTTTAAAATCTTAAAAAGATTATGAAAAAATAAAAAAATTTATAAAATAGGAATATACTAAAATTATTAAAAAAAATAAAAAATTTTTAAAAATAAAAAAAAATAAAAGAATAAAAGAATTTAAAATTTTAAAAGAATTCATAAAATTATTAAGAAATTAAACTTGTAAAATTCAAAAAAAGAAAAATTTGTATAATTTTTTAAAAAATTTCAAATATTTAAAAATTTTTAGATTTTTTTAAAAATTTTAGATTTTTATTATTTTCCATTTTTAAAAAATTTTTTGAATTTTTTAATTTTAAGAAAATTTTATTTTATTAAAAATTTTCATTTTTTTGAATTTTTAAGATATTTTATTAAAATTATGAGATTTTTTTATTTTTTTAAGTTTTCATATATTTTTTATTTTTTTAATATTTCATATTTTTAATTTTTTAAATAATTTTTTAAAATATTTCAGATTTTTAAAATATTTTTTCAAATTTTATAAAATTTTTGTGAATTTTTTTAAATTTTAAAAAAATTATCTTTAACACAACAATTGATAATTGTCTCTGTCCGTACTTCTTAACACGTGTTAAAATATTAGTACTTTTTAACATGCGATAAAATATTATTTGATGTTTATACCAAATTAAGTGACAAATAGAAATAAAAATTGAAATATCAAATTAAAATTTTAATTTATTTAAATATCAGACAAAAAATGTATAATATAAAAATTATTTTTATAGTTAACCCAAAATAGAAGTTTTACTGTGCATACCGGCGGTTCTTGTAGGCATTGGGCATAGCGTCGGGATTTTTTGCCGCTGCGTTTTTCAAAACCAGGCCAGATTGTCCCCTCCCTCTTGAAATGGTGATTTTGAATTTTAAACTTGACTTTCAAAGCACAAGAGAAGAAAGTCTAGTTGCCAAAGTATTGAAGAACAATGGCTTAATTTCACAGATTGCAAAGTGTAAGCATACCTGAAACTTATTTTATTCAAATCAAACCACATAATCAAATTCTGTAATTGCAGAAAATTTATATCGGTCGCCAATGTTTTTACCGTCACATAAGGCACAAAGCTGCTTGCAAGGACAACCTCAACTATGTTTTCAGCAAAACGATCTTAACTCTAACCAACAAATGTCTAAAAGCTTCGTATAAATTTAAAAAAAATAAAAAATAAAAACCCTGGTACACTTGATAAGCAACATTGACTACAGATCACCATCTACACATTTTGTGATTGTGCCCTGGCACACGATCAAAAGATGGAACAAATGAAACTAAAAAAATGATGTGAGAAAACAAAATGCAAACCTTCGGACTTTGTGACATTATCTCCGCACAAATACCATAGGTAGAAGAGATTGATCACCTGACGTCATGAAATGATGGAATGACTGCAAAAAGAAGATCTCCATAACCAACGGCATCTGCGCAAAACAGTTGAAGCAAAGGCAGAATATTTAAAGAATAAAAGCAATTGTTATAATAGTCCAGGTTTAGGTTTATGCTTCTCAGGCATCATCCATTGTTTGCCATAATGTAAATCAACTTTTATCTAGTCTCTAGTAATTATGCATGTTGCATAGCATCAAAGCAGAACCCCAGAGAACTTACCCATTGTAAAGGGAATCTAGACATTCAAGACATGGAAATAAATATGAAATGCAGATAAAGTTATACCTCCATCAAGAGGAGCTTTAAGACTTCTCCAGCAACAGCTGACTGTTTAACAAATCAACAACACACACCATTAAACACCTACTTAAAAAAGAATAACTATAACTAACAAATGAAAATAATTTGAATTCACCTTAACAGGTAGTCCAGTACCAAATTGATCCTATTGCTTGTCCTCTGATCAAATCACCCTGCTTGTATTTACAACTCATGAGGATCAAGAAAAGCCAGCTGAAGTTACAAGGTCATGATAATAAGAAATCAACAGCATCCACATTATTTGCTATCAAAGAATGTTTTAACTTATAAGGCAAAATTGAGACAGAAACTAATACCTCCTGGCAGATGGGAGGATGCCTCTTTCCTTTAACTGTTCTACTCCTTCAGAATGTGCCAACCTGCAGTAAAGTGATGCTAATTAAAAGACAGTGTTCCAGAGAAATATAAAATAGAACATAATCCTCACTCTTGATAAACAGCACATACAATGGAAGAAGATACTAGAACGTAGTTGTTAGATCCAGAAGCTTCCAAGGCAGGTAACTTGGATGACATCCCAAGGGCAACATTTTTAAACAAAGTAGGCTTCTCTAGGGAGGGTTTGGGTGGTGATTAGAGGTGTAAATAATACATTGATACTCGCAAGCTATTCAGATTCAACCTGAATAAAATTCGAATTTAACTTGATTATTAACAAGTTGTGCTCGAGTTCGAGTAGTTCGACTTATCAATCGAGCCAAAATTGATCATTCTTATACCCAACTCAAATAATTTGTGAGTCAAATTGAGCTTTTATATTTTAATATATTTTTATTATTTTAATTAATAAAATATCTCGAAACTCGAACTCGAATTCGATGACAAATAATCGAGCTTTTATTAAATAAAAGAATCGAGCTTATTTTTACATGTTAATCAAACCTAATCAAACGAACTTAAGTAGCTCGATTTTTATTTCGAGTCGAACAAAAAACTTGATCGAGTTCGAGCATTGAATTTCGAATCGAGCTCGAGCTTAAGTTTGAGCTTAATACTATATCAACTCGAATTCAATCAATTACACCCCTAGTGGCAATAGACGTGGGGTAGCAACAGCAGTTTCATTCATTGGTTTAGTTGTGATTGGTGGAGCAGTTGTAGGCAAAAAGCTGGACAAGGGAGCTTTTGTGGCACCAACATTCCGCTTCAGATGCATTTTGATGTCTCCAATCTGCATGTCACAAAGAAACAGATAACCAATTAGAAAATAAATACCATATTTATGGAAAAATGCAACATTTACAAAAGGAACTAAAAACCTGTAGATAGCTAGCTGCACTGAAACATATCTTTACAGGAAATTTTCAGGTTAATCACTGAGACATGAGACGAAATTTAGCAGAAGTATGCAAGTATATCACATGACAAGAGAAAAGGAAGTAACATTCATTTTTAGCTCAGCAACCTCAGTTTTATCTCACACCTCCAGTACCAATGCCTGACAGTTTAAGCAATTAATATGTTAACTATCTAGCCAATTAGAATCAAAAGAAAGAAATTTTTGTTAGATCAATATGAAGGGACCAAACTATACAGTGAATGAATAATAACCATAAGAAAATAAGTCAAAGGAAGACTCATCAAGAGGATAAACAGCCATAAACATGGTAGAAACTACATAACAGCAACATATAGACAGAAATAAGCATTTCTGATACAGAAAACCAGATTAGTAGATTTTCAAGGCACCTGAAGCATTGCCTCAAAGGTAAGTGGTATCATTAACTTTGAAAACATAGAATACTTGAAAACTAGCATTGCAGTCACAGAGTTTGTTCAACTCCTA